GATAGGTCCAAAGATCTGTCGTAAAACTTTTTTTTCTAAAAATAAGGCCTCATCTCTGTTATTTTTGCTTCAAGTTTCAGAGCCATATAAAACGACTGGTCTTATCAACGTTTTATATATTTTGATCTTGGTGTTGCGAGACAGACACTTTGACTTTAGCAGATGTTGAAGGGCATGATAAACTTTATTTCTAGATTGTATTCTAGATTTTATTTCTTTTCTAAGCATGTTGGAGCAGTTGAAGTTTGCACCAAAGTACTTATATGTTTCCGTTCGTTTGATTTTCGTATTATCGACTTGGATGTGGCCGGAGTTTATATTCTTTCCATGTCTAGTTAATATTCGTACATAATAGTAAACATTTAAAAACAATTTATGTTTTGCATCCTTCAGTTAGTCTGTGGTAACTAATAACTAGGAATGAAAGAATTGCAAGTATTATAACAAGTAACTAAACTTGGAAATTGTCACTGACAGCTTAGTTAATGCATAAAAGCTGCATTAGCTCTCAACAGAACCAATCGTTCCATGTTGTCAGTATTAAGGCCGTGTATGCAGAAGCTGGTGTAAGGTAACTACTATTCGTATTCGGCCCGACCGCAACTATTCGGCCGAATATCGAATAGTCAATAGGTCCCGAAGCGAATACAAAGCGAATATTCCGTACAGCCCAACTTTTAATTCAATATGCCCGGCATTTTATATACTCAGCTGCTCAAAATAGCAGCAAATTAGCGTCTTTCATGAACTTGGTGAATTGTGTGTGGAAACAGGAAAATTCGCTTGCAAGCATGTACCCACCGGATGTTTGGTTTCCTGGCAGACGACATAATGAGATGTTAACATCTGCTTCCGGCTTGTCAATCAACAAGTGCATGTTGGCAAATTATAGCTTCTGGTGGAAAGAGCAATCTTTAGGGCTTGTTTTCTTTCCTGTAGCCCTGTAGTTTTTCGGGTAAAATCTGCTTCATTTATTTGGGTACGAGAAACACACGAGTTGAACGGAGATGGTACTGTCTGACAGAAATAGCCATTGCAATTACATGTTTCAGTAGCCATAAGCTGACAGGAACAGATGAGGCAGGCCACCTTGAAAGAGAGGAAAACCTAGGACGCGTTAGTGAAATTAGTAGACAGTAAGGTTCTTTATTAATATCCTACCCCCAGATGACATCACATGACAGTCCAACATTTTAGAGGGTGGTAAGACTGGGTTTCCCGGCTTTGTAATGCTTTTAACGACCCCAAAACATCTAGAACTGGCCTTAACCCCAACCCACCTAAGACCCACGAGAGAGTGTAGCCTAGATCCCGCGAATGCATTCAGCCTAGGTCCCACGAATGCATTCAGCCTCGGTCCCACGAATGCATGCAGCTTATCTACCACCCCCTGAAATATTAGACTGTCCCGTGACCTGTGGATTTCCCGTTTGGGGTAGGATATTAATAAAGCACCGACAGTCAAAATTAATTTGGTACGTTAGGATAATGAATTAAAAAAAGGTAAAGGTAAGGTCGGGAGAAGTGATCCAGCGTCATTGCACACGGTTATAAACCTTAAATTCTCTGCCACCAGCACGACAGCTGATAAGAAACTGTCCGCCTGTGTCGCTGTCCTCACGTAACTGCATAGCTAAAGCGACGTTCCTCCATTTACCCCAGAGTGTTAAACTCTGGTACCCATTTCCTAGAGGCTGGGTGAACCCTGGGAACCGCCCAGTTTCGAACACCTGCCGTGCGCTTCAGCGAGTCGCAGCTGGATTTAAAAGCGAGTCTCCTATCGACTGCGCTAACGTGGCCTCCAGGATAATGAATACACTGTAGAACTTGAGAAGAACTGCAAACTTTATGGAAAACACGAGAAGGCACACAAATATTGTTCTTTTCGTTCTTACTGCGAGGATTTTTCATCTGAGAATGCTGCATGCTTCTAAGAAGGCATTGGTGCGTTCATGTCCACCCCTGGTGCTTGCAGTTTGGTTTCCACCGCAATCCCAACTGGCCAGACCTGGTATCTTTCTAGTAGACAAACAGTTAAATACCTGGAACCCACATGTGTTGCTTACATTTCACTATGTTCAGTAAACCCCCAAAGCTGACTACCTTCCCATGTTCACCACCTTTCCCTGTTGACCACCTTCGGCAGTTGACCTAATTTTTTTTTTTAATCAGGTAGTCACCACATATTCTGAATGGACAACTACCTCTAAATATTGGCCACATGTGTAAGTTGTATGTTAACCACTTGGAATATGTCAAACGATAGTATTTTGCCCTCTATAACTTCACCAACAGGTCTTAACGAGTGTTGTAAATGTATACTTTGTTTTGCCGCAGTAAAAAAGGGAGAGAATTAACGTTTTAGTTTTGCATTGCATAACTGCATGCGAATCTAACATAGGACTTGACATTTTTGCATTATTCCAGAAACTAGTAGTTCCACGTCTATTCTAGAGATGTGTTAAAAGAATTTCACAAAAGACTGCAGAATTCAGAGAAGAAAAAAGATAGAAAATGGTAACAAAAACATAAAGTATATGTTTGTTTAACAAAACCACTTAATAAAACAAATAAATTCAGCGCGGTGTGACGATTTGCCGTTTTAGCCGAACTGCGACATTACAAACCATAAACACACTGAAGGGAACTGACCTAAATGATTATTAAGGTATTCAAATATTATGCAAAACAAATTGAACGATAGTAAACGACAGAATTGTAGAAAGTATTATTTCTTACCTGAGCCACTCTGAATTGTATGAGGAATATAATTCAAGCAGTTTCGATCCAGACATGTTGGCGTGGATAGGTGTCTATTTTCGGAATACTCTGAAAAAGTGTACTGAAAATAGTATACTATTCTGTCATTGATCTTTTAACACAGACAACACAAGCAATTATCATGATGGTAGGCCGTTATACAGCACGTTGGGCTCGCAGGTTTTTTTTTTTTTGTCTTGTTTCCTTCTATCATGTGCAGTTGTTTCAATATCATGGATGAAATCCTGTCTAGTACATTTGGTCTCTTTCATCGGCGTTCATCTTAGCGTCCATTTATTTCCCATGTAAGTGTCTAATGATTCATTGTTTGCCTCTTTTCAGGATGTTCCCGTTATATCGCCATCTTCTTTGTCTTTTAACTGATGACACCCATCTGTAGTCCAAACATTTTTAATTTTTATTGTTTTTTTTATTTTTCTTTCTCGAATTCATCCCTTGGAATGTCATCAAATATCTTAGGCATTTGTTTTGGAATGTATTTAATTATCTGTTTATGTTTTAGTTTTCCAACTTTCCTTGGCAAACTATAAATATAATTTGTTCACTTTTCAAATCTGCTGTTGCGTTGCCATGCCATATCATAATTTCCTTCTTTATTTTGTGTTTCCTTTTAGAAATTTAAACAAATTTATTTTGCTTGAATAGGTAAACTGATTTGTTACTTTCATTTCATTTTTTGTCTCCAGTGTGTGACGTCTCCTTGATTTGCTATTGATATCTTTAATAAATGTGTCATTTGATAACTGATTTGTTATCCAATTTGTAGTTCTATAGTTGTTAAATTGAATAATTATATTATTTATAATATATTATTTATAATATATTATTTATTGCCATAAATATTTCGCTGTAAATTATCAGTTGCATACTATAGTAGCAATTGAATACATTGTGCAATGTTTTCTTCGTTTAAATTTACCACGGGAAAACTATGCTGTGGTTTACGTATCTTTAAAGTAGCCAACGGTGTTCTAATATGCCCTGTTTCTCACCATACGACTAACGAGTTCTGGCTTTGTTTCCTGTCTCCATATAATGTTCTACTTTAGTTATCCTAGACTATCTTAACTAATGGAAGCCGCGGTAATGTAGTGGGCAAATACGCTCGTCTTTCGATCTAAAAGTCTTCAGTTTAAATTCGCGCCCAGCGGATGTGATTTGTTTTTGTTTTTTAACTTCTGTGGTTCTTAGGTCAACAACTCCTAAAATGGGTACCAGACACCGTCATGGGAAGTAAAGGTGGTCGGCGGGATGTTGACCACATCACCCACAGAGATCCACTTGGTCTAGCAAAATCTGAGTCTGGCATCATATGCCTGAGGCATAGAAAATAAATTGTTTTAATAGGTCATGTATATTGTTTTTAACCTGAAGAATTATAATATATAGAAATCATTTCTCAGTAATGTAGATATGTTTCCTTGTTGTTTAAAGTTAATTGTGCTATGACAGACAAGGAACTAGCAGTCAGAACTGTAAAACGGATGAACTTGCAACACTCAGGTTCTGAAGTTCAGAATTGGATGAACAAATATAGAACTTTCCGTCAGAGTTTACAGCTGGTGAACGCGAAGAAGAAGAAGAAGAAGAAGAAGAAGAAGAAGAAGAAGAAGAAGAAGAAGAAGAAGAAGAAGAAGAAGAAGAAGAAGAAGAATTGTTGTGCTGTACAGAAATAAGTTCTGGTTTTTAAATACACATGTTTCTTTCTTTCAAAAAAAAAAAAAAAAAATTAAAAAATACAGAAATATGTTCAAATGCACAAATGCAGATATTTACTTGAACAAACATAATCATACTATCCATGAAAGTAGTGTCACCCTTTTTTATGCCAACTGATGCCGAGAAATATTGACATCTTAAAAGATCTGAACATCAAGGAAGATTGGCTAATAAACAATATCCTTTCTCGAAAACTGAAATATTTTGGTCATAACAAGCGCCACGACGGATTGGAAAAAATTATAGCAGAAGGCATGGTACCAGGAAGGAGGCGCAGGGGCCGACCGATGGGCACAGGATATAAGTGACTCCTTGAGTGTGAAAGTACATGAGGCGGGAGAACTGGCGAGAGACCGAGTGTCTTTCAGGCAGTCTGTAAAGAGAACGACGTTCTGCAAAGGACCTGCTACATGATGATGATGATGATGATGATGCCGACGCAAAGAAATCCTTACTGATGTATAAATGATCTTATTTTTATCTCTGTTCTTGATTCTCAGCTCCTTCTGTATCTTGCTCGAGGAATCTTCGAAGAACAGAGCAACCTGGAGAAACTGGTGCAGAAAATTATGCTGGACGCCCAGGATCTGCTGAAATGTGAAAAGTGTTCTGTGTACTTGCTAGAGGACTCGTTTGAGCGGGTAGGTCTCTTTGCTAGCTTCTCACTGTAGCTTCATTCTGTGTTCTCAGTATTCATCTGTTGTCAATGTATGTGTAGGTGTCGATGCAAAACGCTTTATTATCTACATATGCATGAACAGAACCTTATTTTGGTGTTTTTCGTATTTGTGTATTCATTATTCAATGCGATCTTTACCGGTGTAACATGGCAACGCCTCCACGAGCAAGGAGCTAGTGGGAGGGAGAGACTGGCGACAGTAGATCTTTATAAGTGCCCTCTGTGGAAGCTCCCAGCTAGCAGAATTACAAGGCTTGAGACGATTTACTGGCCAGGCAACGTGCCAGGTAACACATCATCCTGGGACCTTTTCCCGCATGTTTGTTTATAAGCGACTTCTCCCTGTGTTATGTTGGATCCACAATTACCTCATTGCCGATTGTCTCGTCTCTCTCGCTTTAGAACCTTATATGTGCTTAAGAGCCACCGTTGTGTGGGAGCTAGGCGCTTGCCTGTGGATCCAAAAGTCGTAGGTTCAGGTCCATACGGAGCCGGATTTATTTTTATAAAAAATGACCATGGCTTCCAGGTCGACCCAGCCTCAAATAGATACCAGTGAAAGTCCTGGGAAGTAAAGGTGGTCAGCGTGATGTTGACCACATCATTCACCGATTGCCGAATGGTCTATAAAATATAGGTCTACCCTTGTATGTTCAATACTCCTGAATGTGTGGAAACGAGATGTGCATGCGTGCGTGTATATGTGTGTGTGTGTGATTCCTTGATTGACTTTTAGTCCGTCTTTTGAATACACACACTTATGAAGTTGTCACATCATAATAGAGCGGTTTGCTACCAAATCAGCTACCTGACTTTACACCTGGCATTTCGATATTGTGAAACTACGTGTTCAACCTCAAAGCCACATGCGCCAACAGACAACTCCCTCCCGCACATGAAGCCCAAAATGTTGCACTACATAGAAAGGAGCATCTGTTGCCTATTTTCTGTTGCACATAAACAGCATAACGTAACGATTGAATGAATTATCATACTGTAGTGTATGTCCCTACAGAAAGCCATTTTCATGTAAATGTGATATTGTATAGCGATCTTGATTGTTTAAATGCATTTTTTTTTCGCACTAACACTTTAGTTCATCGAGTGGCGTGAGCTAACATATTATACTTTGGAAGCTTTTAATATTACTCCGTCTTATTAATGCCTACTGCTTGTATCATGAATTAGTGAATTTATATTTGCAATAAGTACCATTAATCGAAAATAACTATTTTTGAAGCTGTTACTGGGTTATATTAATTAGCAGTATTAGTAAGACATTGACTCAGTAAGGCAAGCATATTTTCTCAAACACATTCAAAAATGTGACCCTCCTTCCCCCCCCCCCCCATTTTCCTCTTCCAACCCTTGGCCCCCCCCCCCTCCCTCACTTTGGTTTTCTTTTTAAAACTTCAGAGACTTGTTGGTATATTATAATCATGTATACAATCTCACTTAGTTGTTACCAGGCTCCCCGTTCGATTCCAGCTGTGGGCGACTTAGCAACAGACCACCTGGCGTTGTTTTCGACAGTGGAATCAAGAGACGCAAGCAGCAAAATTCTCAAGCAAGTTAATAGATACAACTGTTTAGGGACATTCATAACATCTGATGCAAGATACCTTGCAAAAATTAGAACCAAAATGGTAAAGGTGGCCCGTGGCAAGATGCAACAGATTTTCGTTAATAAGAAGATGCCAGTTACAGTGTGGGGGAAAAAAGGTGTTTACGTGCTATGCAGGACCTTTGTTGTTATATACAGCTGAAATAGGGACAATAAGCTGACAATCTGAAGAAAAAAAAAATATCTACTCACAGTAGAGATATCGTTTCTGAGAACAATGCTAAGAATGTCATGGAAGGAGAGAAAAACAAACCAAGCAGTTCCCATGGAGACAGATGAAATTCTTGAACTTAAAAGAACAGTCAGACGTAAACTATCAATATTTTTGGGGCAGGTTATGAGAAGGAGTGGACTCGAGAACATGGTAACAAAGAACAAGACAGATGAAAAGAAAGCAAGAGTAAGGTAAAAAGAAAAATATCTATACGGCCTTCCCAGATGGATGGGTAGAGACAAAAACATTGAACTGATCCGTGATTCTGGTGATCGTGTAAGAAAGCGAAACATGAAACCCTAGTTTACCGGCGGGTGGTAATCGGAAGCTGGTAACCGAGAGCCCACCATTCACTTTCATGCAAAGCAATTGAACTTGAAATTTCCAAGTAAAATCAGTCAGTCATAATATGCAGCAGGTTGGTTCTGCAACGTCCTGTAATGGATCCACAGCTAACTGACAATCTCACAGACGATTGTGCGGAAATAATTTGTCAAATCATTAAAGGTAAAGATCCATTTTCACGCCTTTAGGCGCATTGGGCATATGGGAAGAGCACCCATATTTGTACATACCAATCGGCACTAGGTGGGTAATGTGGTTAGCATTACGCCGCCTGTTTTTACTTCCCCAGGAAGACATACATTGTGGTACTCATTTTAGGTTGGGCCGACCTGCGACGCCCTATTTCATGATAAAAATCCACGCAGCCAGCATTGGGTTTTGATCTCGATACGTTAAATTGGTCACATACATTAAAACAATGATGATCAAATTTTGTTTAAGCGTTAGGGTCTGCCTCTAGTTCCATTTCTAAGTTAGTCTTCCTCCTTAAGCACAGGGCAGTGGTCATAGCTCTCCATGTATGGCTGTTCACTGCCACCTGTTTTAGGTCTTCGGTGATCATTAGGCCCATGGTTGAGCCTTCCCTTACGATAGTTCTATGCAAGTCCTCTCCTGGTCTTTCCCGTTTTCTTTTCTTTTCCGGTGTCCATTTGAGGGCTTGATGATGATGTGTGTGTGTTATTATGTGGTGTATGTTATTAATCAAAGTTTGTAACGTCACTGCCAGTGCTGGATTTAGGTATAAGTTTAATAAGCACCAGCTTAAGGCGTAGCAATCTGCAAGTGCCTCAAAAATTGCTTGTTATTTTCTCACAAATGCAGTTTACTTTTAAAATTTTAAATGCAGTTTTCTTTAAATACAATTAACATGTAATTTATAAAAGCATTGTAAACTTTTAACTTACAACCTTTCAGAGAATTCTGTACTGTAATTTATATAATTTTGCATACATTATTCTTTATTATTTCTTTTAATAAAAAACAAACAATGTATTTCCATATGCTTATATTAAAAGTCGGCGCCTGTGGCTTAGGCGTTGCGAACGAGCTTCGTAATGCCGAGATGCTGGAATCGATCCCAGCTGCGGGCCTTGCCCTTTGCGTTGGTTTTTTAACAGTGGTATCAAGAGGCCGACCGTCGAGAAAGCAATGGCAAACTACTGGACATAAATTTGTCTAGAAAAACTAACATTTCATATTTTAAAAGCGTACATATTTTAATGTTGTCTGAGATTAGCTAGTGTAATTTAAAACAGTAGGGCCTCAGGGCTTCATATAGCTTGCGGCCTCTTCCAGTCTAAATCTAGCCCTCGTTACCATTAATATAATAATTTCTTGCGTGTGAATGCAATTCAGTGTATATTAAGAGATCAATTTTCACGCCTTCGGGCGTATTGAAGATATATTAGAAGTAGTAGTTTAAGAGCATATATCTTTCCCATTCCAACTTACGTCTGTGAGACCTGGACACTTACTAAATAAGCTGAAAAGCGCACAAATGCCTTGGAATACAAATGGTGTAGACAGGCTTTAGAAATATCACGGGTAAAGAAAAGAACAAATGCATCCATAATTCAAGAGCTGAAAATTGAAGAAGGTTGGCTATTAAAGATGATAAAACACAGAAAATTGAAATCGTTTGTTCACTTAAAACATCATGAAAGTTTAGAGAGAACTATAATGAAGAGGTATAAGCCTGGGAACAGAGGCAGAGGAAGGCCAAAGAGAAGATGGTTGCAGGAAGTGGGGGATGATCTCCAGATGGGTGAGTCAGACGCAGGACAACTTGCTTGTGAATGCGAATGTTTTCCAGAGGGTTGTTATGGGAGCAAGGTTTCTGAAAGGGAGATGCTTCTGACCGACTGGCAAAGTTTTATTTGTTGTGTGTCAGAAGTAAATTGTAAACAGAGAGATAAGTGCGCGCGGCGCACACATACACACAAACACATACACTCTGTCAAAACTAACCTTGGTTTCCCAGATCTACCCAGTCTCAAACAGCCTTCAGGTAATATATATATATATATATATATATATATATATATATATATATATATATATATATATATATATATATATATATATATATATATATATATATATGTGTGTGTGTGTGTGTGTGTGTGTGTGTGTGTGTGTGTGTGTGTGTGAGTGAGTGAGTGAGTGAGTGAGTGAGTGAGTGAGTGAGTGAGTGAGTGAGTGAGTGAGTGAGAGAGAGAGGGAGAGAGAGATATGTTCAACCCCACCAGGACCGTACAACGAGCGACCAACACCCGGTGACACAAAGTGCCACCATTCGGATGAGGATCACCCCGGCACAAGTCCCAGAAACCCTGATCAACCGGTCATATTAGTGCAACCGGGGTGGGACTTGAAAATACGAAATATTACGTCCCACACTGGGGCGGGAATTATTCAGGTAATGTCTTAAGTATAGCTGGTGGTCAAAATCCTAATACCCCCCCCCCTCTTTCCACCCCTTCCCCTTTTCCACCCCCTCCCCGCCCCGCCTCGTCAGAGTGCTGACTGGAAGGTCCAAATATAGGTGTTGCACTCTATGCCTGACACCGATGTAATTATCACCAGATCACCCCCCCCCCCCCCCCATGTGGACTAGTATTAAAAATGTGGGTCTAGCCCAGTACTCCTAAAGGAGTGGTAAAGGGGTAACTTACTTTACTTTACTTTACTTTACTGCATATAGATGCCCTAAATATTGAGAACCAAACAAACAAACAAAAGAAACTGCTTTTTCTGACTGTAATTACTAGGGCTGTAC